ACCAACATCCAAGCTCCAAGGCGTGCACGGTCCACGGTCACAGACATCTGACAAGCACCCTCCAGCGGCACCTTCCAGCGGCACCCTGCAACAGCAGCAGCACTCAAGCTCCGAAGCGCACACAGCCATACACATTTGGCTGCGGGCGGCTGCAGTGGCACCAACACCCAGTCCCCAAAGTGCCACAAGCACCTTTTCCCAAATTTGAGGTAAGAACCCCAATAGCTCAAAAAATGGGGAATTGAACAAACAGTTCTTTGCAAGGGCAGAACCAAGCAGTTTGTAGGATAGCCCTTCCGAGGTGAGCTACCACTCCTTCACCTTTGTCCTTTATGAGCCCATCAGGGACATCATGTCTTCTTCCGACAGTTGAGCGATGATAGCTATAGTTGCTGAAAAATATTGAGGCCATCGAAGGCACGTGTGCGATTTCCAGTAGGTCGTTGGAATCGTCCCCATCGGATTAGCATGGGATTAGCTGTTGACCAGTCGGACGAAAGCGGAAGGACATGGTGAGCTTAGTCCTGGCAATGGAAGCTGGGAGGAGCAATTATTTTCAGCGATGTCCTCGGCAAAAAAATGCACCAGAAGATTTCACTCCTGTCACCAGTGAAAAAGGACACAAAGGAAGAAAGGAAGCAAACAAAGCAAAGCATGCAAAGCAAAGAAAGTGTATCTGGAAAATTGCAGAGGGAACCACTCCAGTTGATTCACTCCACTCAGGCGACTCTTGGCTGCGGGAAGCTCTGCGGCCATTGCCATTGCGCTTTTCAATCCTACAGAGGCCAATGGAGATGGCATGAGAACGGGTAGGGGCTCCTGGCATCGTTACTAGGAGCAAGGACGCTACTAGGGGCTCCTGGCATCGCTACTAGGAGCATTCTTGCTTCTGCTAACAAGAAGCTACTAGGATGCTTGAGGCATCGAAGTTAGAACTGGGTACCGAGGTATGGAGACCCCCGTTGGACCTGACGGGCAGACTCCATGTCCATTCTTCCGGTCGAACCGGGGTCGGTCTCCTTTTTTGGGAGCTACACACCATGACATAGTTGGGTTCCTGACCTTCCACGGGTGATCAGTGAAGCATCTCTTTTGTGTGGACAGCTGTTTTGGGGGGTGCTGTGGAATTTGGGTATTAATACTGGGAGGACTATCACTTGGGTTGCAGGACCTGCGAACCTTTAAGACGCTATAGAATGCTGTAGAGGCATGTTGGAAACAAGGGTGAGCAGTGCCCCAACCTGAAGAGGGAAGCCAAAGGTGTAAGCCAAAGACATACTGAAGCATCCTTACCAGTACATGCGTGAAAGCTTATGGATGCCTATGTCCTATGTGGCAAGCCGAGATGGTGATTCACAACGCTTTTTGGATGGGCCTCCCTCGGAAGTCCAACGGTGACATTAAAGATGTGGCATGATGTGGCCGGGCCATTTGTCAATGCAGTGTTTGAGGATGATTGCTGGTCTTTGAAACTGTGTGGAAGTTAACACTGGTGGACGCTCAAGCTCCACGAAGAGGTGGTAGGCACTGGTCTTCCTCGATTGAACTTGAAGACTGCGAGGTGCTGAAGACACAGATGCAAAGCAGTTCCGGCAACGTGACCATGAAAGAGGCAAGGGGCGTTGGGAGGGTTCGAAACTCCGTTCTGAAGATGTTCTGAAGCGCGTTTCGTCATGTCTAAAGTCTCAACATGACATGAAGCCTGGGGTTCTTTGGCAGTGAGCAAACATTAAACTCCAGCCAGCTGCGCGGGGGTAAGAAGCATTGAGAAGCTGTGTGTCACATTTGGTCATCGCCATGGCTTATCATGCAGTTGGCCCAACGATGCTGCATCCATTGTGATCATTGCCCCGGATGTCGCCGTTTTTTCGATGTGGCAGGTTGCACGGAAGGCAGCTTGCTGCGCAAGTCACTGGGTTGGGGTGGTGTCTGGTACTATATAGTTACCCACTTTGACGATTGCTGGTTGTGGCTAGCAGCAGAGTCTCTCCGTGGCTGACATGGAAGCAATTCCAACTTCCATTCCAGAAGGGGAGTCTACGTCATGTTTCTATCATTCTATTGAGAATAGCTTCGTCGGCGTGGGACATTGAGGTTTGGAACAAAGATGGCTTGAAAGGCTTTTGGGCTGGACTCCGACCCAACGTGGTCAGGACTGGAAATAGTTCCAGATTGAGCAGAGGAAGCCGAGCAAGCCTTTTACAAGGCTTTCAATCATTGCACCCTCAAACTGTTGCTTCACAGCACAGGAGTTTTGTCGGCGTTGGGCGTTTGGGTTTCAATTTGACTGCTTGGCATGTGGTCATGATTGCTCCAACTGTCCAGGACATTCCTTGTCAATGGTGCTGAAATAGGCCTGGCATCTACAAGTTGGTGCTTCAGCATGCCCCACTATACCCTGTTTGTTCCTTTTTGGGGGGCAAGGTACCTATGACGAGTCAAAGCTGGTCTTTCTGGAGTCCGTCGGGGATGGTTTGGTCGGAGCCTCAGTGCGGAGCCTCTTCACTGGGCGCGCCTCGGTTCATGTCATGGCATCAATAGCGTTCGTTCGGCGAAGATCTTCGGGGTTGTCGACCTGCTCCATTTGTGTTAACAATCAGACAGCTGGTCCGGACAATTCAGCCTAACAGTTTCTGGAGCATTGTCAAAAAGATGGACACCTACGAAAGACTGGCTCTGAGTTGTCACCACTTGTGATTCTTGCTAGTCAAAGACCTCAACATTTGTGGTTAGCATCATTTGGACTGGCGCCGAATGCCCATTGATCCTGCAGGTTGCGCATGTTTCAGCCAGCTTTGTGGCTGGCCTTGCTTCCGCTTGTGTCCTGCTTCCCAGATCTTCCCTGGCAGAGTCCAAGGGTTTCAGACGGACAATGAACAAACCATACGTAACGGTACTGTAAGTATTGTCTCAATAAAGTGGTTGGTTTTCGTCTGGGATGGCCATGGATGGCCTAATTAAACAGCGATGGGTTCGACTCGAGTTCGACCCATTTCTTGGAACAAGAAGGACGATCAACAAGTCTGTCTTGGGTGCAGATTCTTCGCAAGTGGCCAACACAATCAGTGTTTCGTTGTCCATACATTCATCATAATCATCATTTAGCATCCGGATTTTGGCACCTCTTTGCATGGACTCATCTAGCAGAGATGTCTCTTTCTTGGGCGGTTCGCAGTTCGGCGCTTCGGCGCCGTCGGCGGAACGGATTTCATTCATGTCGGCATTTCTCGCCTTGGCTAGCTGGGAATTTTGCAGTTGATGTTGTTTCTCCACCTGAAAAAGCACTTGAGAGATGCTTCCGTGCTAGGTTTCAACACCTGCAGACGTGGTGAAGACCCGCTTCATGAACGCAGCAGGTTCCGACCAGGCGAACGAAAGTTTGGTCTTATGGCGGATTGACATATTAACACTTGAAGCTACTTGAAGCTATTAGAAACAATAAGCTACTAGGAACAAGTGCATCGCTAGTAGTAACAAGTGCCTTGCTAGTAGTAACAAGAAGCTATTAGAAACAATAAGCTACTAGCGGATTGGAGAAATTCAGTTTGTGTCGGGTAAAGGTGAAGGTGGTGAAGGGGGGCCGAGCATGACCTAATACGATTTTATGATGTTGTTCACTCATGTGTTCACTCATGTCTACTGAGCCTACTGGATTCTGTCACAAACTATTGAGAATGATCACACTTTTCAGTCCGGCCACCGAAGGCTCAAAGCCTTCCAGATTGATTCGATTGCGGCCGCAGGCTTACCGGGGTATCGTCCACGCTGGCTTTTGCATCCTTCGTCAGACTCTTGGTGACCAAGAGTGCCTGATCGCTTGTGGGACATCATATGACCACATGCACAGGCTCCGGTCCTAGTAGCGTCCGATCGTTCCGTTCGTAGCGATGCCAGGAGCCCCACTTAGTAGCGTCCTCTTGCTCCTAGTAGTAAGGCCAGGAGCCCCACTTCGTAGCGTCCGATCGCTCCTAGTCACTTAGTATGTGAGCTCTTCCAGTTCCGGAGACTTCTTCCTATCATACAGCTACTCGCCTGTCCAAGGCGATGAGGGGTTTCTGGCCCTCTACAAGGCAAACGAAGATAGTTTGCAGCTTCGCCCATGTTGGAAAGGCATTTCGAGTCAACCCTGTGAGAAGATGGAATCTGGGAGGGTTTCCGCATGTTTCCACAGTGAATATAGCTACAAGGTCGTTTGCGACAGCCACATGAATGACATTAGCTACCCCAAGTCCTTCCCCCTCTTGAAACTGCAGGGCTTTCTCCTCATCGTTTGTCGCAAACTCATTTGGTGCTTGACTCAGAATATCACTTGCCATCCTGGGAAACCAAACGAACATAAGTGAACTATGCAATTAATTGTGGCTTTGTTGAGGCTTTCGAAGATAGTTTGCCTCTGACGCGTTTCGTCCAAACACCGCACGAGCCGATCACTAGGATCTATAGTATCACTGAAGATCACTGAAGTCAAGATACTGACTGGTATCATTCTTGCGTCTGTTCACTGATTTCTTTTTGGAACTGGATTCCACTCTTCAGTTCATTGAGCTCTTAGGTGTACTGTGTTCTTTGTCATTTACGAGCGGCTGCTGCGGGCCCTAATTGAGGCGAGGAAGGTTCGGGGAGTTTGCCCAGTGGTCCAGGGGTGGGCACAAGTGGGTTCGAGGCCATTACTACTAGTATCATCTAGTAGCAAGATGTAGCAAGAAGCTACTATATATATATATAGGTTGGAGGCCATCACTACTAGGGTGGAGGCCATCGCTAGTAGGTTGGAGGCCATTATAGTTACTAGTAGCATGTCAACCACTGAGGGTCGGTGACCTCGATCACCCCCGATCAGGCCTTTGGCGAGTCGCAATGAGAAGATTTCAGAGGCTGGCTGGCCCGATCCAGGGTGAAACAGATGATCTCTTTGGAGTCTTTGTTCAGTCTGTTTGCATGGCTTCCTTTGAGTATTTTGGACAGCTCTGACCAGATTGTCTGGATCCAAAGATGTGTGCATGTCGCCTTTGTTGGAATCAGACAGCCAGCCCAACCTCTATGCCAGCCTAGAGCCCACACGGCGGATGGCGCTCTCACGCGGTAGTGCGAGGCAGATTGCGGCGCTCTCAGTGGACCTTCTTGGAAACCAGAATACACTGCTTGAAAGAACAAAGACGCACAACATAGGAATTCCATGCATGAAACTCAAAGAGGATTCCGAATCTCCTGCATTTTGACTGAGAAGATAATCTGCTTTTGCCATTGCTGAGTGGCTCAAGCCACACCGAACCGAGTAGTGAAGGCCAATGGAGTTCCGGAAAGCTGCACGGCTTTTGCGGCTTCTAGCTCTCTTTGCATGTGTGCACAGTCAGGAGTCTGAGGATGCTTTTGTATGCTTTTGCTCGATCTACAGTGTTGACGCAACATTTCTAAGAACTCCTAGGTTTGTTCGCTTGGATACTTGGATACACAATTTAAGTCCCGACAAACAACACCTTAAATGGAAGTTTTGATTGACTGCTGAGCAATTACTGCAGGAGCGCACCTCCAATGACGCTGCGGAGTGCACTGCTTTATTTCAAGCGCACAAGCATCGAGCAAGACGAAGGACACATGTTGGGCCACAGAGCATCCCTTGCATCATCCATCAGACCTGGAAAACACATCAGCTGAACCAACCGCAGGGTAGCTATGCAGATTCGTGGAAAGAGATGAATCCAACATGTGAATACAAGCTTTGGAACGACACGGAGATCACGGAGCTGGCTCAGTCCAAATCTCCCGACTTGCTTTGGCCCATTTGGGAGGGCTTTACGCCCGTTGAAAAGGCGGATGTTTTTCGATATTTGGTCCTCTGGGCCTTCGGAGGTTACTATGCCGATGCCGACGTGGAATGCGCGAGACCCATCAAGACATGGGAGGTGCCCGAGGAGACGGACATGATTGTAGGCCACGTAGCAAGAAGTTTCAAACGTGTTTGGGGTGGATGATTGAGCAGCTATGCTGCATTTGCATGCTTGCCTGAAGCAACAACGGAAATAACTGACTGTTTGTTGAAAAGATGGTGTGTCAGTTGTCAATTAGATATGGGCTCCCTTTGTTTCACCCTTGAACAATGTATTTTTTTCACCCTCCCTTTTGTTCAACCCTCGAAACCCTTTTTTTTCACCCTCAAGATTCCTTTTTTCACCACCCTTTGGAACCTTTTCTTTTCACCCTTCTAAAACCTTCTATTTTCACCCTGTAGCATGTTTCTTTCACCCTTCACCTTGTTTTTTTCACCCTTCACCCTTTCTTTTTCACCCTCGACCCTTTCTTTTCAACCCTCGGTGAAGCAGGTAACCCCTGGAACCTGCACAGAGAACGATGTCACCTCCGGTTTGTTTCACACCGCTTGTTTGGAACTTCTTGTTACTAACCCTTCGGAACCCTCCGGAAACTGTGCAGAGACTGTCCGGAACGACGGGAACCGCCAGAAACTGACGCCTCCGGAACGTGAGGCAGCACAGCATCCATCCATCCATCCATCCATCCATCCATCCATCCATCCATCCAT